TCTGACTAGCATAAGTGAGGTTTGTGAGAACCTGCCTGTTTCTGTTGCAGTGCAGGATAAAGGAAATGATTTAACTGGGCGACAATTCTTGTGCGTCCCATTGTGAAGGTTTTCTTTATTTATACGTAGATAGATAATCTAGGAAAAATGAAAGATATAGATACGTATATACACACACTGAAGCAAATGAGCTATTTGTTCCCTCAGGCATTAATACCTAGATGTAGCACTGATCTTGTGGGATGCTCTCTTCTTCAGGAGACTGTTATTAGGCTGATTGTCACACAAGATCTTTCTTTCCATAGCAAGTTTTGTAAAGCAGGAGGAAAAGACAGTTCCAAGATTTCTTCTCTTCTGTTAGCAAGGAAAACATCCATTGATGTCAAAGAGATTTTGATTCAGTAAAGAATAAAAGCTTTAGTTGTTTACCTTCTAGAAATGACTCTATTTTCACTGTGGCACTAAAAAAAAGTTAAAATCAGAGTGTTTCTCTGTTCATCATATTAAATGGAATGGCCACTAGGTCTCATATGCTTTGATAAATGCTTTGGAAATGTAGTTAAGTAGAGCCATTCTTAGTATGCATGAATTAATAATGAGAGTGGGGTTTAGGGAAGCAGTTAACTAAACCTGCACTGTTGAGCATTGTTTTGCCATTTAGCAAATAGTTCATCAGTGCTTCTCTACTAAATCCATTCTGTAATATCTGTTGGCAATAACGTGTGGAGAAATTAATCTCAAAGGGAGAACAATTTCTTGGCACTGTTACTGCTTTCCTTTTTGGTAGATAGATGGTCAGCTGTGCTGTTATTTAACCTAGTGTCATCCTCCGCTAAGTGCAGCACAGTTGTTCTGGATACTTTATGAAGTCCCCGAGGCTATTGACTTCAGCATGTGATTTGTCAGCACATTCCTCTTCCCCAGCGTTGAGCTGCTGAGGCCTCTGAAGTGGCTCACACTGGTATTCCCAGATTGTGTGATGACCAAGCATTTGATGTGAAATGCAGATTGTAAAGGAATCTTTCCTTTATAATGGAAAGGGGCTGGCGTGATTTGAGGGGGACTAGAAAGGAGTGAAGTCTTGATTCTGAGCACAGTTAATCCTCTGACCATGAAAGTGCCCAACCCCCTGCCGCCACCCTTGCAATTCTGTCTGTCAAACCCCAGGTCTTCCAAATGTTAATTTTATGCAGTTTTCCCACTGCCCTTAGCAGACTAGTGTATGCTGGCAGGGAGCAAAACCTGAGAAGCTCTCCACCCAGGTCAAATTCTCTTAAAAACTAGATGGGATGCTGTGCTGCTGCTACAGGAGCTCTCTAAAAGCCTGTGCCTCACAGTTAGGATGCCATGCACGTGAAGAGGTGTTGTGTAGAGGCTACAGGATTACTAACTCTAAGCAGGGCTGTGGCTTACCCTGTGCCCTTGAATTCTGAACGGTGATCCTTTTTCCCATCTTTTCTCCCACGCAGTGCCAGTATGTTTGGCAAAACCACCACATGCTTAGGCTTTTACCTCTTAGAATCTCTCATACCTCATTCATGCTAAACTCTACTTAGGTTTTAATGGACTCTGGATGGCTCAAACTCATAATTCTCAAAAAATAACTGGACACTTAAACTTTAATGTAACTGCTAAGGCAACCTAGATTAAGAGCTTCAGACAAGATCTAAAATAACTGCAGTTTTCACCTGGTACGATAGCACGAGTCTCTCTTCACTTTCTACTGTTGTTATGTTAGATGCATGCAGTTGTCAGGTTCGGTTTTATCTAGGCTTTTGGTCCTTTCTTTAGGACTTACTGTTTTATTTATCTATAAAGTGTCTAGAACTCTTGCTGCTATATAACTAGAAATAATATGAACTGTGATTTTCATTGTAGGGTTTCATATTTTGTTTGTTGCTTCAGAATGAATAATTAAGTACTAAGCTGTGAAAACCTGTTTAAAATTAATTTTAAAAGTGAGGGATCATGCAAACCACAAGCCACATCTACATCAGGTATTTAAGTGAATGCCTGTTTTATACGTTTTCTTTTTTCATATTTTTCTGGTTTATTGGATGCAAAATGTCTGAAATTTAGTATTTTTCAACTGCTGTGAAATCAAACTAACTCTAAGCAGTATTTCAGACAGCTGCTGAGCGCCGCGTAAGTCCAAAATCAGAGCTTACAATTCAGAAGGAAATGCTGGTAACAAACTTCCCCGTAATAGCTTGCATGATTTTTTGCATGTCTTTGTTATCAATGTGAATTTTGCCTTGTATTGATTTTTGTTTAGCATTAGAGAGTTCTTCTGAAAGTGCCACCACTCTGTAATTATTACCTGCCTCTAGGAAATGGGCTTCCAATGTCAATGGAAAACTTACACCTATACCTTATACAAAATACCTATGTCACAGTGTCTGCGGATCTACATCTGGATGTTGGAAATGCTGCTTGCTGACTCACTGTTTTAATCAATGGCACAAGACTCGTAGAATCCAAGCATCTTTTTGGTACCCTGCTAAGTTACTGATTTCCTTTTGAGCTGAGAGTATCCATCCACATTTCCTCATCTTTCCCTAACTAGGGGTACCAACATTTATGGAAACACCTTCCTAGCAGTGTTTTTCCTTGCTGGAATCCCTATAGCATAACTGTTTGAGGTTGGTAGGCAAGTGGATGACTTCACAAAGAAGTTTTAAGGTAAAGCTTTATACCTAATTATAATATTGGAAAGATTGCTAGCTGCTTAATTAAGAACAGCATTTCAAACTTGGCTCCCAAGTTAAATCACTTTTTTTTTCAGATTTGAACTTGCCCTGCTTGAGGATGGAAGAAGGGAGGAGGAAACATTTGCAAGGAATAGTTAGTTTTACTATTAACAGTAGTTAATAGTTTTATGATTAACAGTATTGTCAGTAAACTGTTAGTTCACTACACAATTGTGTAGTCAATTGTCTGCCCGTAAAATGGCTTTAGAAGCTACAGCCCTATTACTTGTTTGTGCCAGTACTAGGCACTGAAATGAGTGGAAGACTGTTTGGCTTGGGGTTTTTTGTTGTTATTTTTTAAGAGATTAAATGTTTTATTTTGGAGCATTTTTATTAGATTTTCCTTTATGTATTTATAAATACACCAGCATCCTGCTGAAGCTCGTAAACAGTTGATGTGTAAGAAATGGGTAAACAAAACACTGACATTAGCAATGTGAATGCATATTTCGGAGTTGAAATTTGCACTGCGCAGGTCTTCACTCTGCTGCAGTAAGCATGATGGGACAGAAAGCAGTCCTGCCTTACGTGCCAGCTTCCTCTGTGTCTGGGACTTGCAGTCAAGCCCCATCACCAGTCTGCTTGTCTGGCCTTCAGCAGTGCACCAACTTGAAATGGAATGCTTGCGATTATCTTTTGGGTTGTCAGGCTTTATTCTAACATTCCTAATTCACACTGATTGTTACTTTTTATTTGTGGATAACATCAGCTTTTGATACTGTACTCAAAATGGAGATCAGGCTTCAGGTCTTAAAATATTCTGGGAAATGAATGTGGTTCTCTGTTCCAGTATTCCAATCACAAGCCACAACTGAAAGGAAGAACCACTTCAGTGCATAATCGTACTCCCGGGTGCCACTGAATGGACAAACCATGCTTCCTTAAGCAAGCAGTGATAATATCGCTCTTCAGTAATGGAGCTGAACATTACTGTCATCTAGAATGAAATTTGCTTAAAGAAAAAAACTTCCTCAAGTTTTGCAGTTTTGATCCTGTTACTGTGGTGACTGGTGAATATCTGCTTAACAGTTTTCTTGCTTCTGTATATTCAAAAATATTTAGTTATCGGTTTAGTGTCAAGAAATGTCACAGCTTTTGCTCTTGAACAGTTTGAAGTGAACAGGATTTTATTGGTCTTACGTGTAACTAACAAAAAAGTTAGTAATTGCTATAACTGCAATTCCCATTAAGGGCAAAGGGAATTGTCTCTGAATATCCAAGGGTAGAGTTTTGCTTTAAGCTATTATTCTGTTACTTAATTCAATAAAGTTCTAGATTTGTGACTTTAATTCATGCTAATTAAAACAGGAGTAGTCTCATGTTAGAAACACTACTAAATATTGAATGTGTGGAGTATAAAATACTACTCAGTGTTACAGAATCTCTCATGCGGTTGGTAATACAACTTAGTATTTTGGAACATCATACATTTTTTTTCTTAAATGCTTTCAAATTAGAAAACTTTAAAAAAATGGTTTCTAAACTTCTAATAAAAAGAAGTTTTTTCTAATGTTTGGAGTTTCACCTTAAATTATGTAGAACATTCTAAATGGCCTTTAAAAAGAAAGAGAGAAGATGTATTTCACAATAATGAACTCATCATGTCACCATATGAAATATGCGGTGGGACAAGTAAGACAATAGCACAGTCTTGCGATGGGAAAATATGCAAATTCATTTAGGATATGTAAGGAAAGATTAAAGAAGATCTAAACTTCCGAGTCAGTTACCACAATCTGACTTGCTTCTATTTTCTTGTAGAAGGATTAGGGCGCTTTTCTATCAGTTTTTGCTCGGATAATTTTTCCAAAATAATTTCTTTTGTCCCTTTAATATCTTGATAATTGATCAAAAAAGCACATAATTAATCAAAAAAACATCATTAGAAGCACAACATGCAGTCAGTGCTTTAAACAACAACACTAGGATGCAGAAAATACTGACCTGAGGCAGAAACAGCAAACAACCTTAGACCAATAAATATGTTTGGGGGGAGAAGTTGGAATTCTTATGGTAAATCAAGTTGGTTAAAATGGGAAATGTGCCCAAGAGAAGTCACCAGATTCTTTCATGTAAATGTTGGGAAGCTGTGAGATACAATGTGTTTCCCTCCAGCCCCAAGAACTACTTCAGACAGATACTTATCTGAGTAAAAGGAGGGTTGTTGATGTTTTCCAGATAGATACTGTAACAGTTAAATTAACAATTGAATAACCTATTCAGTGCTTCTTTTATTTTGCTTTTCTGTAGACAAAACATGGATGCACACTCCTGAAGCCTTATCAAAGCATTATATTCCCTATAATGCAAAGGTAAGAAAATATGAAGTTATTTTGTCCTCTTACCTTTAGAACATAGTGCATTCTATCTTGCTTTTCATTTGAAAACTGCAGACACATGAATTAGCCGAATGAAATAGAGAAGAAAAACTTAGTAGATGTCTGTTTTGCAGATGAAAAATTTCTATTTCTTAGATAATGGCCAATTGATTCTTGTTCTGAATTATTTGACGGTTTTCTAGAAAGCAAACCAGTGTTCCTCTTCTGCTTGATGCTCTGTTTCCTTTTAATGGATGCTAAATGGATGGAAATTTTGAGTGCAAAGGAATTTAAAATCAGGCTGCATGCTTACAGTACTATAAAAATTAAAATTAATAGCACAAACTCGAACAATAGCAAAGGCAATGAGTAACGATCCTATCTGCTGGATATATTGAAGTGTCAAATACTCTGGAAATATGGTAGAATAATAATGGAATTTTTGCACGGTAAAACCAGAAGTCTTACTCATGCTTTTTTATCCCAGTTACAACGTAATTTTACAATAATATTTCAGTTAGTCTAATGACATCTGTTCACAGGAAATGCATCTTCCCAGAATAACAACTTAGAAAATGGTTTGCTAAAAGGAGGAGGGAATACGCAGCAATCGGCATAACTCAGAGTAAACTGAGTAATCGGCTATTACTTGCCTAAACTGGGAGGATAATTCAATAAGATTCCACCGTGGTCTGTTCTGGATAAAGTTCTTGTATGATTGGTATTTTTTAATATAAGAATAAAAATTATTTCACAGGCCAGGACTCAGTTTCCTATACTGGTATTCCCTGCTGTTGTGTTTGCAATTTTCTTTCACTTAGTATTGCCACACAGTGAGCAAGTGTTTGTAGTGGAAATCTGAGTCTCATTCTGCTAGTTGCCAGGTGAACATGTTTTTATTCTGTGTGCTCTCAAACTGAATTTTTGACCAAAGGATGTATTACCATTTAACTGTATAGCCTTGCCAGACACCTTGGCTTTTATATTACAGTTTTTGAGAGGGAGGAATACTTGCTGGGGTGACTGTGCCATCTGTTTTAAGAGCAAGCTGAAGCTATGAATTCTATTAATGCACTGAACAATGTCTGTTTGTTTATGGTCTTTACTTCAAGAGAAAAAAGAAACCTCCCTCACCTTTCATGTCCCATTGTCTGTCTTAAGAGCATATCTTGTGAATAGGTGTCAGTACAGTTATGCAGAAAAAAAATTAGAATAAAGAAAACAGTGATATGATGGTGATAACCATAGAAACAACAGCATCAATAACTTCTGGAGTAGAAAAAAGAGATGGGGAATTCCTATCCAAAGTAAGTCTGTTCTCAGCCTTGTTAGAGAGACTCTTGGTCCAAAAAAGTCTTTTCCTTTTGTTTAGGCTAACATATGCCCAAGTGTCCTCTCCAGTTCTGCTTCTCTTTAGTGTGGGTTCCGACCTTACCGGGCCTCCTCGACCTCCGTGCTGTTGGCCTCTAAGGTCTGTCAGAATACTTGCAGGAAGCTGCAGCGTACTACAGCATATGCTTTTTTTAAAAAAAAGTTTACCCATTTTTTTCATTTGGATCATGGTAGAAAATTATTTAATTGCCAGCTTTTAGCTGGCATATGCAGACATAACAACATTATTAAAACTAGATGATGTTTCCACCTCAATTCTCAAGTACCATTTTCATTAAGTTTTGCAGTATTTTTCTTTTTAAGAGGAAAGCATGTACCTAGTAGTACCTCATTTGGGTTTTCTAACATTTTGGTTTTTTAACTAAAATATCCCATTGATTTCATATCTTGTAACTACATTGTGAAATAATGATTAAAATCTCAGAAAGCATTCATAAAGCAAGTATTGAAAAAGACTCATTGATTTTTTTTTTTCCAAATGTTCATATTGTTCCACTTCCAATTCTGTAACAGTCTATTCATGTAACTCTTATATTTGTTGGGAGGAAAAGACAACACTTTTCCTGATTTATTTCAAAAGGTAATTATGTGAGTGAAGAATGACATGTTCAGAAAATCAAATCAATTTGATGGAAAGCAATAGCAGAGATGTTCTTCTTCTATGGGCAAGTGAGCTGTATTCGGCTACCTAGTTTTTTGAATGCAAATTACCATGGATGAAAAATACTGCTTTCTCTTCTTTATAAGAGACAACAATCATTTCTCTGACACTAATCTTCTGAGATTATCAGAAAAAGGAGAGCTTACTAAGAACAACTGGAAAGATGGGATTTTGCTTACTTGATTCCTACGACTTCTTTAAGAATTAAAGAGAGCCTGTTGATAAAATGCAGTTCATGAGTTGCTTGTTATCTTATTAAAAAAAAAAAAAAAATCCTGGCAAAGTTAACTGGAAATTAAAAGAACCCTGCAATATAGACAACTGGCCTTTTTTCTACAAATTGGAGAGGACTTTTTAATAGAGAATTAGTAACGTCTTGTATTTCTTAGGACATACACCCTCAGAATGATTTATGGCAATAATCTTCTTTGCAAGAAAATACAAGCAGAGTTGTTTCTTCTGAAAGTAAAATCCAGGAGCCACGAGTCTCATAAGGGTGCCCTTAAATATAAAAGCATCTTGATTCCCTCTCTCCTTTCCAGCACACCCAGTCCTTATGGTACTTGCTATTTTGAAATTCGGGGGGTTTTGGCATGGTTTGGTGTATGGTGTAAGTTGATGGGGGTCTAGGGTTTGGGGTTTTGGGGGGGGGGATTGGTTGTGTGTGTGTGACTTTGTTGTTGTTGTTACTGTCATTGTTGTTTTGGGTTTGTTGTTTTTTTGGGTTTGGGGTTTTTTTAATCTTACTGATGTCCCCAGTCTCGGTCTTGCTGAAGGCATTGATGATAAGACTCCACACATTTCAGTACGCTCTGGAGGTGAAATCTGGGCCTACTGAAGTCAGAATTTTGCCGTCAGTTTTTGATCCTATATTGTTCTTGAATATATCACTCCAAATGAAAGCATATTGGTCATGTAATTTTTTTCCCCAAAAGATCATTTAGAATCTTGATAGTATATTATCAAATACGGGGATACAGGACTCACTTAGATGTAGTAGCATGGCAATTTTCATACTACCAGGATATAAAATGCTAAGGCAAACCAAAATTTGTCTTTCGTGTCATCTTTTTTCTGTAACATTCCATAACTAAGAACAGATGTTTCTGTTATTTTCCATACTGTAGGGGAAAAAAGTTCTCTTTTGCTCTTAAGTTAATTCTCTTGATTTTCGGCCAGTTTCCTTTCTCCAAAACAAAAGTGATCAAAGTGTGACTTTATAATGGAATCTGACTGCAACCTTAAAAATGGACTGATTGTTGTCATCAGGTAACTGATTCTGCCCTGAGGGGTGTCTTTCTGCTAATAAAAAGTTGCCACTGCCCAAACCAGCAATGTTTACTATGTCTCTTTGTAGTAAATTGTATGTATATTCCCCTTTATAGTCACTTGGCTATTTTTCGACTTACATCAAATTTCCACATGCACACCTTTCCATTTTGCAGATTAGAGGTTCTGCTTTGCAAGCCTGGTGTTCATGTTGGCTGCTAGTATACTATGGAGTCAGTAGCTTTGACCTTACATTAGGCTGAAGAGCTGCTGTTTTACATAGTAACGTGATGTCATGTTAAACCCTTGGGAGTTTATTTTACCAAGAGATGTGATGGCTTCCTAGTGCTGGGACAGCTACTGTCCTAATGTTTACTTCAGACTTATTTTAGAACTTTGTTTATTGTCATGTACATATTTATGTTTCTTGATGAAGTTTAAATTTGAAACTTTGAAGATAAATGAGCAAAGCTTTCCCAAAAAAGACTGTTAAACATCTCTTACTTTGTATTATTGTGGGGTTTTGATGACAATTAATTGTGAATTGTTGTGCAGTTTCATGGATGATCTTTCCTTGCAATTATTCAATATATATCTTGGACCTGTATTGCAACTGTAGTAAAGGCAAAAAAAAAAAAGCATTAGTAATAAATACCCTGCAAAAAGAGCTTGCTTGGCAGTACCTAGTAGTATTAATCTTAATCTTAGTAGTACCATAAACAGAGTTTAGTTAGGTTTTCAACTTTATGTAATTTCTTATTCCTTCAACTTTTTTATCATTGAAGAATGGCAGATAATATTTTTCTGGAGTAGGCATTTTGGAGAAGAATTTTAGGTCAAAAAATATCACGCTGCTTCTAATTGACTACCATAGCAGGGCTCTAGGTGCAATTATGTCTTTTGAATATCTGCATATCACTATCATTAGTGTATGGTATTATCAAAGCCGTGTTTTCATGGCATAAACTGCACTTGACTACAAATTTTTGTTGCTATAGCTATACATGCAATTCCTCTTTTTCTATCCAGTCAGCAAACTACAGAATGATCATGGTTTTACATCAGTAAAAATAATTAATGAAAGAATATCAAAGGGAAAATTGTATATAGATTTTCCAAGTAAACAGAGATACAAGGTATGCTATTAAAAAGTATACTTAAATTTATGTGATGACGTTAGATATAGCAAGATATTCCAAACAGAGCACAAAAATGTTGAAAATTGGAAACTAATGAAATAGAAGAGGGCATTACAAGAAGTAATTCATTTTCCTACATTTAATTTATTATAATTAGAATTAATAACTTAATTCCAATTAACTTTCATTAGAGTATCAAAAAGCCTTGGATATAATCATAATTAATTTGGTGTTTAAGCACCCGAAAAATGAGTATTGTGAAAATATCCAAATGAAATATGAAAGCAGAAAACTGTAATTTTACAAGGAAATGCAAATGTGAACTTCTTAGTTATTTCTGATACATTACAGTCATTAAACTTGGGGCTTATTATACCAAAGACGAATAATCCTGTAAATAAAACATAAAATATTCAGAGTCTGCAAGGGGTACTGTCAACAGACTTCTCTGCTTCAGGGAAATCTTGCTTACAAGATTACATACTTAAAATGGGAGAAGGGTAGGAGAGGATAGCATTATATCCACAAATATC